TAAGTGTCATTAACCAGCGCACATTAACATTTCTTCGACATTTATAAAGCTGTATTGGTGCCTCACTTTTTGAATTGTTCACAACTCATTTATAGGTTGCTTAAGGGCTATGCGGTTCAACGGAGTGCCGCAAACTTCAATGTTATGCTGCACTATGCTCCAAACACACTCTCCGCCTTCACCACAATCCACGCTTACCATCGTGGTGAAGTATGGTCAAACAAACCCAACGACTCACAACGGCGTGGAGAGCCCCTCATTTAGCAGTAGACTTACGAAAGGGCAGTACACGCATAAATAATGGAGATAAATTATGAAGCTATCCATAGCTATAAATACCAACATCTCCGTGTTGGGACGCGCTTATATGTATTATCAAAGCCTTACCTTTTAATCTGAATCCGATTTAGTCTTGTGCATTAACGGGACACACACGTCCAAACTCCAGACTGAAGACCCGTTTGCTTAGTCCATTATAGCGCTTTAGCCGCATTATAATAGCGTTGCTATAGATACGAATGCAAACTTGGGTTGGATTTTTAGAACGCACAATTGTTTCTTTGAAAGGCTGCGGGGTTCGCGGTTCCCATGGAGTCATTCGTGCATTTCTTTTAAAACTATTGTCCGACCACTCTTTAAACATAGCCAGGCGTTTGAGGCAATGCAAGTGCTATACTTGGACGAGGGCGTTTTAGCGCTCACCATTAAACGTGTGCTTTCGTTTTGATATAGAGGCATTTCAAAACATACTCGTTAGTCAAACTACACAGCGTGCCCACGTTAGTTCTAGAAATTTGACGACAATTCATCTTCCAGTTATCCCACCTCTTTCAAAACGAAATCTATTTAAATTTTTTAAGCATATTTGTAGTACAAAATGCGATGTTTTGTGTGTGTGTGTGCTAATAGTTCAGACAAGCATGATAAGTCAGATACCTTCTATGACCTCCTGTCACAGGTACTAACTAAAGTGGCCCCTCGGGATAGAGTCATCTTGTCGGGTGACTTTGATGCCCGAGAGGGTCATGACGCAGGCACCTGGGCTGGAGTGATTGTAAGCATGGGCCAGATCAGCTTCTACGAAGCCCATGGGCTTGTGATCACTAACACGCTGTTCTGGCATTGGCGCATCCACACAACGTCGTGGATGCGCGCCGGGTCCAAGCAAGAACATCTCTGTTCGACTATATCCTGACAGGATATCGGAAAAGGACACTATGTCCTTGACACCAGGACCTACTGTCAAGCTGATCTGCCCACTAGCCATAAACTTGTTAACTTTAAGATGCGCTTTCCATTCATTCACTACGGTGGTGGGCATCCACCTAGGACGTCATTTTGAACCCACAATAGCATAGTTTCGGCTAACCGATTCAAGTTGCAGGGAACAATTTAATTATCATATTCTTGGTTCTTTCGGTAAAGTCACGTAGAAGGGAAACAATGAAATAATATTTTTATTATAATATTTTAATTATTTTATTGTTTCCCTTCTACGTGACTTTACCGAAAGAACCAGGAATATGAATCCCTGCAGTCACGAAAGCTTTCAATCAAAATGTAATTATCGTTTACAGCTGGGGTTGGCATCGTCTTCCCCTCCCCCAAATGCAGAGGGGGGATGAGTGAGGTTCGGGACTGTGGCTCCTTCCGCTGTAATGTCTGCAATTGGTACGCGATTCAAACCCTCGCTGACGGAGGAGGTGTTCCAGCTATCTGATGGACAGTGACAGGCTCACTCCCACCGTTTACAACATCCCAAATTGAAGAATAAGGAGGCTTACCGCAACCTTTGTTGAGACCTTCGTACAGCCGTCCGGCGCTGCAAGGATGAGTGGTGGTTGTGGATTGCTAAGATGGAAAATGCCTCAGTAGCTCGCGATCACAAATCACTATTTAATTGCATCAAAAACGTAACTTGCAGCACCATGCCTATTACCATCCTTTAGGGAAAGAACAGTGAAACCCATCTCGGATCCCCAGGCACGGGTCTGCAGGTTTGTTGAGCATTTCTGTGATGTCTTGGGGGAAGGGGAATCCGTCAGTTCAGATAACATCATGGGGCAAGGTGGCGATGACCCTTCTGGGGCTGCCGTGCCTCAAATATTTTTTTAAAAAAGACAGCCACCCCTGTGAGTGGCTGGCTGATCTGTTGAGAAAGTACGAAGAAACATCCATAATCTGAGACGAGGAAAAAACACCGGGCAGTAATATTCTCCCAAGTAAATTGCCGAGGGAGGATAGTGTCTATCTGCAGATTTTCCTATATGACATAATCATAACTGCCTGGGCCACACAACGTGTTCCACAGGATTGGAAGGATGCCATGGTGGTCCCCCTCTTTAAGAAGGGGTACTGTACTGATTGTAACAACCAGGGGTATCTCTCTCCTAAGTGTGCCGGGAAAGGTCCTGGCAAGGATTGTTCAACATTGCCTTGCCAGACAAGCTGAGGAGAGGCTTGCAGAGCCCCGATGTGGTTGCACATTGGGGCTTTTCTCACAGATCGTTGAAAGATCTGGACACAGTCCCATCGGTGAAATCCGGCTGGCAAAGCTGCGTTGGCTGGGTCACGTAGCCCACATGCCCTGTCACCGCTTTCCCAAAGGGGCCGTCCATAAATGACGTCACGCGATGTTGGACGATTTTTGACTCCTCACCCCTCGTCGCACGGCGTCACCAAAAGTCAGACCCCCCCTCAAATATGACGCTTGAAACAATTGTCATTGTAGTGCGTATTTAATGTGCCGCTGCACTCTGATGTTGTAGAAGAAAACATTTATTAACAAGTCTTATTTTATTCAGTAGATCGTGTTGTCTGTATTTATTTAAAGTTGCGCATTTTGATGTGACGTCACATTTCTCAACCCCCCCCCCCCCCCTCGTCACACATCGTCACAAATGTCTGACCCCCCCCTCCCCCCGAGGTGCGTGACGTCATTTATGGACGGCCCCAAAGAGTTACTATATGGCCGGATAGAAGGGTGCTATACGGGCATGTCATGGGCTAGAGAAGAGACGGGCTGATGTGTTAAAGTAGGGGGTGGAGCTGTATGGAGTTGCCAATGCCTGATATGAGCGGTGTCAATATGGGACTCTGTGGAGGAGGCTCGTGAAGGACGCTGCTGAGCAGTTGGAGGCAGTCGCCCTCCAGCAACAGCGGAGGGCGGAGAGCGATGCTCACAAGTCACAACAACGGGGGGAGCGCCAGGCGGGTTAAATGCAGCAAGTTTATACAGTGTGGAGCACAGTTTATGCGTCTGACAGTCATCTCAGTAAAGGCAGGAAGCATGGGACGGTCCTACGATCTGCCAGCGAGCGTTTTGGCACTTCACGTGGCCTCAAAGTGTACCTAGCCTGGCACAAGCGTCATGGTGACGTTACCGCCACTTAGTGGCGAATGGCGGCTCTTGTAAATCGTTTCTCAGTCTAATTTAGTTTTTACTTATTATTCTGGAATAATTAACGTATAAATGCAGCACCTTGCGACACACAAATACACGTGTATGCTAGGCAATAACGTAATCTTTGTTTGATATGACAGACGGTGAGATGTTATGAGAAAATAATTAACATATTCTTCGATCTATAAAGATTCTGCCGAAACCAAGACGCACCCATAACTTGTGCCCTGTGTCAATCGTCATACAAATCTGGTGATTAATCGGATTAAAAGACATCCTCTTATAACCCGGAGAACATAATATTATTGCTGCATTCGTAGAATTACAACATCACATTCATCAAGATGAATATAAAATAATATCAATAATAATAATAATTCCACGATCATGTTTACTAAACAAACTGAGCAAGATACTGCAAGCGGCAACGCTCAGTTGTGTGTGCAGGGCCAGTAGGGGGAGTGCGCATCCACAGACCACTGAGGTTTGTTTCAGCACCTGAGTTTTCCGATGTCACATTAACACATGGGTGTGCACTGGAAATATATTATTGTTTGTCTTGGTTATTTTGCATAACGCTAGTTGTGAAATATATCACGCCACATATTTCATGCATGGCTGTAAAAAAAAGAAGTGTGCTTTTTATTATTTCATTTCATGAATGTTAACTTTCCAAAACGCAACAGTCAGCAAGTTATTTTTGGCATAGACTATTCATCAGCCGTGCTTTTCCTGGCACATCCAGCACAAGTGAACATAGTGCACATTATTTCTCAGACACGGTGCCAAACCCGCGGAGTGAGATTAATTGGTTGCAGCATGCCCTGGCATGGTGTGCTCAAGAAATCATTTCAGAAATATATATATAAATTTCAGTTAATCAAATCTGGAATGTCTTGGTATGTTATTTTGAAACTGGTATATACGCAGCATTGTCGCTGTGGAAAAAGGTTAACAGATTCGTTTTGCTTGAACGTCTTTAATAACAAAACAAAGTATTTATTTTTCTCACATAGCAAATAATATAAAAATGCTCCTACTCGAATGGTATATTATAAATATACAGTATACTACACATTGTTTAACAGTACTGTATCCAATTAGCTTTTGTCCCCGTTAACTAAGTCAGGCATTAGTTTGCAAAGTACTAAATCTGTATTGGCGATGTTTCATCAGTGGTTGTCGAGTGATAATGTGTAATGTGCCAAGTTGGCGCTTAAAACACTTGCATATAGGCTTATTTTAACACAATTACGCCATTTAATGACGATGGAATATATCTCAGCCAGAGATGCAGTGTCTTAGTTATATTGTTGCAATGATGCTATGAGACTTCGGTCAAAAGAATCCCATCAGGGGCAAACAGAGTGATTATTCCAACTTGCAGAGAGGACATTAATTACATCGATGGGCAACGGTGTGCTTCATCCAATTGTACATTGGAATTTAGATACCTAAAATGATATTTTTAATGCTGTGGATAAGGAGAGTGCCGTTGCGTTGTGATGCACCATCGCTCTCTTGCACATTCATTATGCGTGTCGATGAAATGTGTGATTAATGTTTGTTTAGCCAATACTCAGTTCACAAGCATTCGTTCATTAACAGGACACTTTATTTTGCATCAAAAATATTGTTTCAAAGAGTGGAGTTCATGTTACATCACAGATTTTCACCCCATGTGTCTGCATTAGAGCAGCTGTAAGCCTTCCGTCAATCTTGGTATCTCACTGCCTCGACAGCTCTCTCTCTAAATTCCTGTTTTAATTGGTCTACATGTTTATTTTCCAAATTCACCCAATGTTTATTGTACAGCATAGCATAATGTTATACCGTTTGGATACGTGCAGTTGCATGTTAGGTTATATGGGAAAGTTTCACTGAATCGAATGTTTTTCTCATTGGGGTGTGTGCCCAATGCTTCGATAGGTAATGTTTATAATGTGAGGAAACTGATCAGCCAGAGAAAAGGCATACATATGAGGTGATAACACTGGAAGGATCACACAGATAGGTTTATAAAATCATTTTCTGTGCTGCCATCTACTTGTCACCTGGTAGCCCAGCCAGTTTGTATTCTAATAAATCTTCGTGACCTACCACCGACTCTTAACTTACAGGCATGTGCCACTATGGCTCACAATTTATCATACTGTAGTCAAGCCTTCAGCGCTAAACGCACGCACATATATGCATGAAGTTATAACTCGCTATTAAGCTTTAATTACTGATTCTCATAAAAATGCAAATTTCAAAAATACACAATACACAAACGTTTATTTGTAAACATAGATTTTGAGAAACTATGCTTTAGGCTATAATGAATTTGCACCCATAGAGTACTTTGAAATTCAAGGGTATTAAAATATACATCTTCTACCTCCATCCCACCAAGTCCAACCTTTGCATCCTCATCCCATCAACTTCTAGATAATCCAATTTCCCAAGTATAGCGAGGGATAGGGATTCAACTATAAAATAATGCATAGATTTTTAGATGAACGTTTCCAATTAGGTCATTATTAATCCTCAATGTAAATTCTGCACTCCAAGTAAACCACGAAGTTACCTGCACCCAACAAAAAACATTGCCACGGCCAAAATGATCGGTTTGACTTCTCTGCTATGGTGACTTTAGCAGGGTACTCTATTGACTGCAGTGCAAACATCAGTCGTTGGAACTCGCATTTGATAGAATCACTACTCCAAATTGCATTGTCATTCTGTGGACGCTGAATCGAGTGCAGACGCGTGGAGTGAAGGAGTGTTCAGGCTTGCATCACAATTTGATCCTCGTGGCGCACTGGAGGCCCGAGAAATGTGCTCGACAGCGACAGATGTTTGGCGCCACACATTTCCCTCCATGCAGGCAAGGTTTCCTGCAAACAGCTTGGGGGGGGGGGGGGGGGCAGAGGAATTAATGGCAACGGACATCATGTCAACGACAACTAATTACAATTGTCATTTAATTTGCAGATGCTCATAGCAAGTATGTTTGGCTGCCCGTGCAGTGCAAGGAGGCTGGATATTTTTTCTCCACCTACCAGTGATATTTAAATTGTCTCCTTGGTGTCATTTCATGAGACAAAGCAATATCCCTTCACTTATCTCGCAGGTAAGAATATAGCAAACCCTTTTTGTTTAGAAACAACCCTTGAGGACAATATCACAGACCTACTTGTGAAACTATTTTAATAGACCTTTTTATTCACAATATGGGAAAAGTGTCTGTAATGTGTTTATCAAACCGAGAGCTGGATTAAGTGACATTTAGGGGAAACGATAGACATATTATGATGGGGCTTTTGTATTTCACGAACTGTGCAGCCGACGCCATAAACGTGGAACACTTTAGAACTCAGTTTAACCATGGACAGCTGCCCAGTCACCTTTGCAAACTTCTATACTAAGTTCTTATGATATTACCAGTAGATAATTCGCACTAATGTCTGCGTTGTCAGTACATCTGAGATGGTCAATATTATCTCCATTCATCGTTGTCCTTTTTTTCACCAACCCACAAAGCGTTTGTGAAGGATTGTCACCCTATCATCCAACTCCCTCCCCCTTTGAAAGTGTGTTTTTGTAAATGTTATCATGTAAGTTTTGTAAGTTGTTTTTATTTTATATATACTTACTTACTCCTCTTCGCTCCCTGTGGAGCATAAGGCCGCAACAAGTCCACGCCATGCTGGACGGTTATATATATATAAATGGCGTGAATTCAAAAGAAAAATTCTGACATTCGGCAGTATACACGCACCCACACACAACTGTTTAACATGTTTAAAATTTTAAATAATTGAGCTTATATTTACTGTCATCCCTTAGTCTTGTTAATTAGTAAAATAAATGCATGCCTCTAACCTTCACTTTAAATGAGTCCGATGTGACCTTTTCAGAATTTTTTACATTTTGGCCACACAGTCCTATGCTGTGTATTTATCATAATGCACACAATGTTTATTCATATACAACCAAAATATAGTCAAATGGCAGACTATGTAATGAAGATTTATATGGGGAAAACGTTATTAAAGGACTATATATTATTGAAATTTGATAGCATTTTTTCTCACTGGATATGAAAGCATTCATTTATGGAGGCTCTTGTATGCGAGGAAGACACGCGTAGTCTGATTATAGTTTAAGTAATAATGAAATGATTAAAATCTCGCCAGACATTTTTGACACACATAAGACACCGACTATTTCAGGTTTTTTTCATCCATGTGCAAACATTCCTTGAGCAGGCATATGGTTAATGTACAACTTCACTTTGGCAAGTACAGAGTTATGTTACGATTGATGGAAAGCCCTAAATGAAAGCAGACATTCATATTTCCCTAATATTAACTCTCACTCTAAAAATTGCAAACAAGGAAGCTTTTTTCATGCAACAAATTTATAATCTTGCCAAAGAAGGCATGAAAGAAATGTTTAACTTGAAATGGATCCATCTGCCACCAATAACCCAACCCTAAGTAGAGCACGTACAGAAATGTTTCATTGCAGATTTTAGCAACATAGTCGACACATATCATTGTGCATAACGCTTGTGGTGAGATACATACCAAACTTAGAACAGGGGATTTTCATTATGCTAGTGTGCAAAACTGCCTTTGCTTCACAGAATGTTTCCTTGTAAATTAAGAAGTGTGTAATGTGATATTTGGCATTCTTAAACCAATTTACTATTTCCAGTCCAATCTATTAAACCAAAACCAGGCCAAAGTTATAACTAAAACTGTCCTAGCTAAACTTTGTTAATAAAAACATGTTTACATTATCAGCATATTACCAAACTAATGTGCAAAATCTGCAGCGAAACGTGTGCAAAGGAACAATTATTGCCATACTATTTTTCATGGCAACAATTTATTCCACTACAAAGTTACGATCCTGGGGTGCAAACACTGGAACATTGTGCAATAAACCCATTCACAAAGGGCTGCAAACTATTAGTATTATTATTAAACGTATGATCCTCTCAAAAACATTTTCCCCATTACACAGCTGAACTGCAATATTTACTGTATGAATGCCTTCGTTATGATTCGAATTGTGAAAGGTTATAATTGTATGATTCCCATTAGAATGGCACTTCATATTCCTCATCGTTGAAAACGTTTTTCTTCCATGCATTGTGTTGAGCTGCGACGTGTAAACGGAGCCCCTTTGTGTGCCTGTACAATAGCGAGAGGCCACTATTGAATGACATCCAGCAACTCACACACCCTACACATTCGAGCTCAAAACACAAACATTACGTAACTCATATTCTTGGTTCTTTCGGTAAAGTCACGTAGAAGGGAAACAATAAAATAATATAAAAATATAAAACAATAAAATTCTCACGACGTTTCGACTGCAACACAAGCAATCATCATCAGGTGTGAAAACCGCCACTTTTTTCAAAATTTATTGCTGTGGTTTTCACACCTGATGATGATTGCTTGTGTTGCAGTCGAAACGTCGTGAGAATTGTATTGTTTTATATATATTTTTTATTGTTTCCCTTCTACGTGACTTTACCGAAAGAACCAAGAATATGAATCCCTGCAGTCACGAAAGCTTTAAATCAAAGTTACGTAACTCGTACATATTTAATAATGGATCTTCAGCATTGTTCCGTCAAAAGATATCTACTAAATATGATATTCAAAAGCCATGGATATACACAGGGTGCTTCAAAAAAATGTTAACACTTACATGGGACTATAGTTTTGAATAGATAAAGAACGGATACCACACTAACATGATAACAAATGTATGTTTATAGCTTCAAAAAGTCAAAGTCTCCACTTGTTGCAAATTCTCACAAGTATTAAACATTTTTTTGAAGCACCTTGTACATATATAAATGTTTTATTGACAAGCACGAAAACTTACCAATATGACATGCCCCACCCTCCCAGCCTGTAGGGCAGCTGCAGATGCCCGGAGAAACACAGCTCCCTCTGTTAAGGCAACCCTGGGGGCACACGGCTACACGGGAGAGGAATTGTAGAAATGTAAACAACAATGTGCTTCATTCAAGGCCTTGCATGGATGTATACTTTACTATTTCAAATACCGTCGTGAATTCATACTTAGCTCCTGCATACGTCTGTTTTTTTTTAGTTTTTAATTCAGTTCCATTTTTCCAATGAAATGTAAACTAATGGCTATGTGACGTTCCATGATGACGTGATACTTGCGATCTGAAGTGTGGTTTGCATACACGTGTGAAAAACAACACGACACAAATGTGCCCTGCATTCATTGAGAATCACTAAACAAAAAAATGCAAATAACGATTGGTAGCCTTTGCAAATCACAGCACATGTTTCGTGTTTGATAACTCAATTGGTGCTGAAAAGTGAACTCGTAAATCATCATTTGAAAAATCCTTAAAGGCAGTCAAATAAAACACAGCACTGCACCATCGACGACATGGGAGTAGTACCGAATAAGCCTACGGATATGGGTGAACTATGTTTTAATTTCAGCACTTCCAGTATTTGATTTTTAACGATTAAAATGTATGTTTGATGGAATAGTTTGCTAAACAACCTTATCAGTATGAATTACTACAACATGATATATATTTGATGGTAGAGATATCTTTCATCAAGAGTTAGTTTTTTTTTTATCTCAGTGGAGCTTTTCTCAGATAAAATATAGTAAACGTAATAGAATTTGAATGTTATGGCTGTGTTTGTATTTAAAACGTGCACATTGCATTGAACAGGTGACTGAACCCAAAATATAAATGTTCTGCCTTTTAAATTAAGGGTTTTTTTATACTATCTAGACACCAGAATAAATTTGGCCAAAATATAAAATAAATGTTGGACGAAACTAAAAATTAAGAGGACATGGGATAGAACCTGCAAATGACAACATGCCATTTAAAAGCTTTCCTTGCTTTTGTGATGTGAAGTTTGCCACCTATAATTGTACGCCTCCCATACTTCCTGAGAACAAATGATAGTGTGGCTTTTCTCGAAGAGTGCCAAGCAATTAACAGTGCACATCATCAGTGTCCTGCATCGGCGTTTGTTGTTGCGGTATGCATATGTGTGACATTTATTACTGCGAGTCCTTACCATTTATAATACAGATTTTTGTAATATGCAGATGTATGCATCGTTTTAGCCAATATTGAACCACAAATGTCCGATCAAATAATTCAGTAAACTGTTGTTATATTTGTGTGTTCTTACAGTGTTGGCTATGTTCATGTATAGTTTGTGTATGATGTATTGTAATGGCCAATATTTGTTTAAGTTAAGTACATATAAATTTACAAGTTAAATCCGTCCCTAGAAAGTCAACAACTGGTTATGTCACAATGACAGGCATTGATTAGTATTACATCACATTTTCATTCGTATTGTTTCACATTTAGATTCTAATACATGAACGAGTATCCAGACGTGACCAGTCACAACACATATCTATGGATCATTCCACACCAAATAAATAATTAATAATCAAACGCATATGAGATCAAACCTGAATTCAATCACATTTCGTGGACAGCTTTGTGTTTGAAAAGGAAGGCTACCACCCAAAATATACACCAATCGGACATTCCGTTTCCCAGACATAGGTCATCGGAGTTTGACCTGAACATTTCCACTTGGCCACCTTCCAGGCATTTTAACTTCCCCAAGGCTATCGTCAAAAGGAGAGTCTGATGTCATTTTAAGGCTTTTGAGAATGTTCTTTTTCTTGGAACTAAGGACATTTTTGACCTTGACATTGCCCAAATGGTGTAACTTCTGATTTTCTTCAATGTATCACAATGTACCACACGTACTTGAACAGAATCCTTACAAAGTTTGAAAGTGCGCACTTAAATACTTTAGGGTTATGATAATTGCTGATAAACGCAGTGCAGGATGGAAAGGGACGATTTCAGCCTGATGGCACAGATTGCGCAACTTGCACTTTCACCGATCGTAGCAGGAACTCAACTGGAGTCAGTGGTTTTTACCTTCTTGGCATCGTGGACCAGCCCATCCGGACACGCAGGAGCACTTCACACTTGAGTGGACAGGCACACACTGCCCTCCGTTCAGGCAGCCCCCCTCGCACACCGCTGACAAGGAGGGGGGAAAGAGATAACACTTGTCAGCAAGACGTAAACGTGGATGTGCACAGCTGACATTCAATTATAATGATGTGCCCAAATAACAGTGTGCATGACCAGGGCCAAATTCCGTTTGAGCGGGGACCCAGGGCTGTTATAGTTTTGGCAGGGGGAGCCTCTTTGGATATTCAATTCATTGCCTTGTCTCTTTCACCACCACCATCCATGCCCTATGCCAAACACTCCCCTTGTTAATCACCTCGCCTATTAGAGTACGGGTTTTTAATAAGAATGTCATACAATGTATGACTTGTAAAGCCAAATCAAAGTCAACATTAATAAAAAAAACGTATTTAATTTCGGCACAAAACTGATAGTAAAACACATCGTGATGTTATCACTTTCATTACCAACTCATCAATATGACTTATCATAGCGCTTACTTTTTTTGCTTTAATCATTATCATTCTTTTTTGGGGAGCACCTCAAAATCTGAGGCTCCACGCATTAAACGGATCCTCAATATGACCCGTGTAGTCTGAAATCATCGTCCATGGGCACCGTGGTGGCGCAGTGTTAACTCCGTTGCCTGGTATGAAGCAGGTCGTGGGTTCGATCCCGACTCTGACGCCTGCTGTATATTTGGAGTCGGCATGTGGTTGCGTGGATTTTTTTTATTCGTGTTTCTCCGGTTTTTTCCCTCCACATTTTGGAATCAACGTGCGTTTGGAGTATTTTGGTGCTATAAATTTCCACGTGATGATAAGCTGCCTTCGTTGAGCTATTATTTGTGGCCATGGTCGCTTCTGAAAAAGAGCTACATAGCTCAGAGGGCCTTACCTGGTCAAATAGAAATAAAAAACAGTTAAAGAAGAGCACCTTTGTGGCAGTAACGTCCACCAAATCCCGGTTGACATCGGCACTTTCCCGGGCGAAGGCACTCGCCTTCATTCTTGCACTTGGGATAACATTGTGCTGCACTCACGATGCAACATGCAATAATAATAATAACAAAAAATAATAAAGGTTAATAATAATCCATGACAACAATTACAGCGATGTTAAAATAAGCCAGGCAAAGCGTCGCCTAGAAAAGAGCCATTCACAAAACAGCCAACAATGTAGGATGCAATAGAACAATAGTATAACAAAAATTAGACACCCGTTAAAAGTAAGGGTTTTTTTTCGTTTTATGTTGCACATGTTATACTATTCTGTATTCTATGCCAACAGGTGTGCTAAACTACACATTCACTCCGTAAAATTGTATGCCGAATCGCTGATGAATAGTATTTTTAATCACAAGACAAATATGCGATCAGGATTCTATATCATTAAAATGAATTCACCATGACGTCACTGACTGCACCTTGAACATGTAGATGATTTTGGGAAGCACACAGTATGGTAGTTTACTGGCACTGCAATAAAAAAAACACTTGTCATAACTCGGGTGTAAGTCGCAAGTTGAAGCAACATTGTGGGAATAAACCAAGCATGGACTCTTAATAGAAATGCATTTTATTGTTATAGTAACACGTTTACATCGGTTAATCACAAGGGTGTATCAATTTTCCTTGCCTCGCTATTCAATGAATCGTGATTAAATGTTCGTGTTAATCTATGCTGCTAGATTGTGGCGAATGTAGCGGAGTGGCACGGCCTGATTACATGCAACATTTTTCAAATAAAAAAAACGGCAATTCTTACATACGAGATTTTGAAAAGTGAATGTATCATGAGGTTAAAAATAAAACGTCATTCAGGATTCCATGCGCGTTTCACACCATATATATTCTGCACGTGCAGTCTACACACAGGCATTACATACGTAGACTGTAGCCTAATGCTTTACACAAGTAAGCAGATATTAGGGTGGGACATGTGTATTGTGTGTTATGCGCCGAATTTAATTCATGACCGCACAACTGCGAACGTCTTTAAATTTGACTATTTAATGACAGAAACTGGCACGCGTGATCGAGCCATACAATTAAAAAGGCTGCTTGCTGATCGCTAGTTGTCTCTTTTTGTAATGTTAATCATTAATAACATGTCTGAAGGAAAGTTGGAAGAAATTAAAGATGAAATTAAAAGCATCCTGGCTCTGACTGTTTAGACATCTTATTCGACGTTCAAGTTGTGAATTGTAATTACACAAACACGTGTCAGCCAGCTCTTTGTCACTCCACTGCTGGATGAAGACCTCATCACGCCGTGTTGGTCATGGGGGTAGGGAGTGGGAATTGTATGGTTATACTTCAACCACACTGATCAACGAGGTGTTTGTGAAGGGACGTTCAGAGGACCACTTTCATTGTATCCCACTCGCCACTGTTGTTCGAGCTGTGGCCAAGAAACAAACTCATGTCGCAGAGTTTACAACACGATAACCACTGCAGCACCCCTCATTCCGAATAACAACAATGCATGCTGACCGAGTGCCTTGATTCGTATACTCTTGCAATTTAATCCAGAAATGGGTTAAAATGGTCATTTAAAGTTAAATTGCAAAAACTAAAATTACTTTTTTTATTTTACCAGGTAAGGCTACCTAGGCATAAATGATAGCTCAACAAAGTGGCTAATCACGTGGAAATGTAAAGCAGCCAAATACTCGAAATTACTCGAAACGCGTGTTTATATATGTGGAGGGGCTAAAAACCGGAGGAACCGGATAAAAATCCAAGTGACCACGTGGAGAGAGACAGGGTCGGCATCGAACCCACGACCTCCTGTATACCAGACGAGTTAGTTAGGGCTACTGTAAAGTTTGCATAAGTTCAGCTTCCCAAGCAGTTAGACATGCATCTATGCGCATGCAGCTCACGGAGTGGTCCATGCAATCCGTAGAGGAGAAAGTAATCTCCTCTCGGTCAACGCGTCTCGTTTGACAGTTAAAATACCGAACTGGCAGCGCTCGCCCTCGTATCCCTTGCCGCAGAAGCAGGTGTCGTTGCGGATGCACAGCCCGTAGTGCCGACACGGTGGCTCGCACTTTGCCCTGGGATCAAACACGAAGGGGACACTCACGCCCCGCACGGCCTGGGAGGAGCCCTCCCGAGCTGCAGATGTCCCCACCGCCAAGACCACGGGCAGGAGGAGGATGAGCGTGGTGAGCGTGATTATGAGATTATGACGACGACGACGATGATGATGATGATGACGGTGGTGAGAGAAGACGAAGAAGCCCAGAGGAGCGCTCTGAAGGTGGGGGAGTGAAGAGGAATTCATGCTGATGGCGGCGTGCGGGCAGCTGGGTTTATCGTATGTAGCTCTGCGCGAACGCGTGCAAGGGAGACCCACTGACGTGGTGCATAAGAGGGAGGAGAATGCATAGGGATGGTGTACATGCGAGGGTGGTGCTGCCTGATTGGGCGGAGATGTTTATTGATAGCCCCTTACCATTGACAGAATAATTTCGAGTTTTAGATTTTAAGGCATGGAAGATCAACGAGCATCACAACCGGCCATGATCAACCCACTGCTGGATTGTGGACTCGGGCGGCCATCGTCATCCCTCATGGTCATGTGACGCAACAATGCACTCAGCACAGACACAAGAGCCGATTTAACTACTCCATCTCAGCAGTGGAAATACTCTCAGGTGGTTTGCCTTCTTTGGCTGCCACTGAGTAGTTTCTGCATCTTGCCCAACCCCTTCGCATGATTTTACTGTCAAAAAATGATGTTTTTAACCTGTTATGCTCTCGAATCCATATCGTTATCTTAATGTCTCTCATTGTAATCCTAAGCGTATATCTCTCCATGCTTGTGATTTTAGCCAATTATTCAGTCCTCTTTAATGAACGAAAAGGCAGGAAACCACCTATGAGCCACACCCAGTGTGTCACTCCAATCCAGTGGCACAAATAGGTGAGGCTTGTGATGATTATTTTTCAATCACAACTCGTCTCGGGTTATCCAATTCGTCGATTTATCGAACTGATGATAGCTGGTGAAGCGGAGGGACCCATAACTGGTTCTGATATAATTCGCCACCGATAATAACCGCGGCTGCGAATCAAGCTCATGCAGCTGGGATGGTAGCGCAGCACGTTAACCACTGGAACACAGAAGAAACAAAACAAGCACATTTTGGCCATTTGAACAAAATAACTGAGTTTTTTAAAATATTATTTGGGTCTTTCGGTGAAGTCACGTAGATAGGCTCAAAGAAAATAACAAAAAAATATCAAAAACTACGACGTTTCGATCACAACACAAGCGATCGTCATTGCTCGTTTTTCCTCCTGATGACGATCGCTTGTGTTGTGATCGAAACGTCGTAGTTTTTTTCTTTGACCCAATCTACGTGACTTTACCGAAAGACCCAAAGAATATTAATTCCTGCAGTCACGAAAGCTTTAAGTAAAGATTGTAGTTTTGAATGCTTTTCTGGACTGTAATGATGCTAAAAATACCAACGTAACATTTAACACAAAATAAATATGCACTTTAAATGAAAACAATAAAGTGAGCCAGCGCTTCTCAGAGGGCTGGAATGGAATTAAAGGTTTACATTTATGCATAATTCCAAAATATGCATTGCCATAACCCAATGGTACACCTCTTTTGCATTGCTAACAAGGCCGTAACCATGGAGTCAACAATGGGGGGGACCAAATCTTCCAGGGAGTCTGGGGGTCGCCCCCCAGAAAAAAAATCTAACTTTGAAAACGAATTTCGTGCCATTTCCTGCCTAAAATATTATAAAAAATCACTAACACATAGGGTGGACTTTAATTGTATTTTTTTACAATAATGTCTAATAGTGTATTGTACTACATTGCTCTGTTTTTTCTTTTTTACCTTTTCTTGTTTCATTGTATGTAATGGCAGAGATTAGGGATTAATAAAGTACAACCATAACCACAATCATATGAACGTAAATCTATTTTATAGCAATATACTGTATTTGCGGGGACATTTTGAGCATATTTTAATATTGGAGGGGATATGTCCCCCCCCCAACATATATTATATTATATATTATAATTACGACATTAATTGCTAAAATGCATAAAACCTTCCTGCACATAAAACAAATCTCACCCAGTTGTTTTAATATGTATTTCCCCTTTATGTACTTCGATGTCTCTCTGCCCTCCAGATGCAATGTGGTATTTATACTTCAATACCTCTCAATCACCCTTTGATCTAATTCCCCAGAATGTAATTGCAAAACAGCTACACATGTGAGCTCCATGTTCAGTGAATTACAAAGAAACAGCCGAACACATAATACCGTGAGAGAGAGACCTTATGGGCTATTTTCCTCCTGAATGGGATGTATCTACCAAAACTAAGTGCATTGAAAATAGGATACACAGGCACAATTCACCTTGTTGGAGATGCCTGATTTAAACAGACACACATATATATATTTAAATCTGTGTTTGGCTGTCTACACAAACTCCAGGTATTCTAGAAGCAGACTGTTATAAAGAATAGTTTTAAATGTTTTCCAGTAAATACACAAAAGCATGGGACATGACTTATTTAGCATGCATTCACAGTTCAGAGGTTTGGGCAGTACTCACTAAATGGAGTTACAAAATAGATCAGCCTGGGTATAAATGACGTATTACATCATCTCAGATAGCATTATAGATTAATTCATCTCGTCAAGTTGCCAAATAAGTCCAGTCAAATACCCCCTTGATTCCATGCCCAGGAAAACCTATAAAACATGTGCTATATATGCCAAACGTTATTTTTCTCTTTTAATCGAACACAATGCCCTCCTATGTATATGCATTTAAGAGCATATACGTGTGAGGTATACCATTACATCTACAATGGACATGATCACACTCGTACTACCACTCGAAAATAAATCGAGTACGAGTGTGACATGCTCTGTACAAATCTCAAATAGTTCATTTCATGGTACATTTGGATCATGAAGTTTTTTAAACAGAAAATTTGGGATTTCACTTATCCTCAAATACGTATTGCGTCGACTTCCAATGGCACCTTCCTTATTCTTTGAATTGTGTAAAACTCCTCAGAAGCTAGAAAACTGAAGTAAAAATGTTCACTACTTCCACTACAGGCTCTACAAAGCCCATTCTCTCTAGACCTATATAGCCTTCGTGTTACTTCCGTTCGCATGGTTACTTCACATTTTCCAGAGCCCAGTACCCCACATATCGGCATGGCTCGTCACTAGGGCCACATCATTTAAACGTCGTTTTAAATTATTATGACATATACATAAGCATATCCAGAAAAGGTGTCACCTTCTCGCTGGTGGAGTGCCTTAATGAGGCGGCCCCTGAGTCAGAGAGTTGGTGTCCCGGATGGCACCCCCCTCCTCCCTTTCAAAATCTCCAATAGTCAGCAACGTGCAGACAAGCTCACGGAAGTGTGGTGCGCTCTTATTGTTCGTCCATCTGCCTCCCCCTGCCCTGGCCCGTGGCATGATGTACGGCAACGCGTCTCCCTTGTGGAGAGGAGCTGCTGAGGGACAGGCAGGCGAGAGCCAACAATTTGAGTAATTGCGCACGAGGGCAGCGCCCGCGTTGTCTAAGCGACGGCCCCCTGCAGCTAAAGTGGCGATAGGTCTCCCCTGGAAACCAAAATTGTCCATTAATTGGCGACAGCTTTTGGTCATCGGACTTTCGCCCACTAAGGCTGCAAGGATGAAGGAATCGGGAAGCAGGTGCAAGTGCGCTGTGACCATTATGACAGCAGTGGTCACGCTAAGGAGAAAACGGAAGGATTTTTGTTTTGCGCCACACAATTAGCTGATGAGGAAATCCTTCCTTCCCGTGGCCTGAGCCGAGAGGTAAGCTGGTCAGACTCATTGCACGTCATGTGGACTGCCGCTGTGGAGAACCACGGGTGCAGACTGGCTCAGCTGAAACATAGTTGACGTGGGTGAGTGGAGCCCTCATCCCACCGCGTTCCAGCGATGAAGGATTTGTACGGCTGGGCGGTGGATCTGGTCACCCGGCAGTGAGCACAGAAAGTGACGAAATTGCTCCTGGTTCAGAGACAGACGGGAAGCTTTGAGTCACAATGGCGATGGCTTGTGGAAGCTCTCATCCAGCAAATATGCTGATGTTGTTGATGATGAAGTGTCACGGAGGGATGTGTAGGAGGGAGCCACATGAGCAGCGTTGACGCGGGATCCGCTGACGTGCAGTTGCAGGGGGCTCGCTGTGCCCACTGCAGAAGCAGTGAACACAAGCAGTAATGAATTATAGCATGCTTGGCGGTGTACGGTATTCAAATAGTAAGGAACATGACAATGTATGTCTATGCAAACCATGTTTGAAGGTAAGTGTAATACTTAGCTTTCTGTCCACACTGTGAGGTTGAAAAAAAAAGAACCCCATGGGTATGATGGAAATGACCGTCTCAAATATGTACACAACATGCCATTCATAACGCCACTGGACTTATTTGAAATGTGTGTTTTTTTATGTTCACGTTAAAGTTAACATTATACTTCATATGTAGAAGCACTGTATTTAGATTTTCACAATTTCACTAGCGTGGCACAGAATAAAGCGTTGGTAGTCAAGTTAACACTGGAAATGCATTAAAGCTCCACTTCACACATTCAAACTTGATTTGAAGCTTTCGTGACTGCAGGAATTACTATTTGGTTCTTTCGGTAAAGTCACGTATAAATAAAATAAATTAAATAATAGAATACGACGTTTCCATTGCAACACCAGCAATCGTCATCAGGTAGAAAACAAACCTAGTGAACTTAGAAATACAATACAACACAGAGAGTTAGCTAACACAACAGTCACACAGAGTTGTGTGTCTATGTTGCGTGTCTCTCTCTGTGTGTATCTGTGTTGTCTCTCTCTCTCTGCTTGTGTGTCTGTGTGTCTATGTTGTGTGTCTCTCTCTGTGTGTCTGTGTTGTCTCTCTCTCTGCTTGTGTGTCTGTGTGTCTATGTTGTGTGTCTCTCTGTGTGTCTGTGTTGTCTCTCTCTCTGCTTGTGTGTCTGTGTGTCTATGTTGCGTGTCTCTCTGTGTGTGTGTCTGTGTTGTCTCTCTCTCTCTCTGCTTGTGTGTCTGTGTGTCTATGTTGTGTGTCTCTCTCTGTGTGTCTATGTTGTGTGTCTCTCTGTGTGTGTCTCTGTGTTGTCTCTCTCTGCTTGTGTGTCTGTCTGTGTGTCTATGTTGTGTCTCTCTCTGTGTGTCTGTGTTGTCTCTCTTTGCTTGTGTGTATGTCTGTGTGTCTATGTTGTGTATCTCTCTCTGTGTGTCTCTGTGTTGTCTCTCTCTGCTTGTGTGTATGTCTGTGTGTCTATGTTGTGTCTCTCTCTCTCTGTGTGTCTGTGTTGTCTCTCTCTGCTTGTGTGTCTGTCTGTGTGTCTATGTTGTGTGTCTCTCTCTGTGTGTCTCTGTGTTGTCTCTCTCTGCTTGTGTGTCTGTCTGTGTGTCTCCGTGTCTGTGTT